ATCACTACGTGTGTCTCGCTCGCGACTATCCGAAATGGAGACGAGCTTGGGCTGGAGCGCGATTCCGAATGGCTTGCTGTGTGACAAGGTGCATAGATCAATTGCGCCACCAAGCATATTCTGCTACGATCCGATGCATGTGTTTTGGGTTCACGGACTTTTCAGCTTGCACACAATGTGGCTTTTGAATTCTTTGCGCAGGCTAGGTTGGGAAAGGAACGCGGTGATTGACAGTCTCCTAGATTTGAATGGAAAAATTCAGGGGCGGCAAAAGCTGACATCTTCCCAGATACGTCGCTCGCTTCAGCCAGAGTTCTTCAACGATGGCGGCTGGAAAGCCAACGCGAGCACGCAAGTCGCTATAGTGCCTTTGTTGCACTTTTGGGCGATGTTCATGGTCCCGCCCCCGGCAGGCCACGCGAGGCCGTGGAGTTTCGATGCTTCTCACTTCTTTGCAACTGCGCCAGCATCGCCAGGCGGCTGAAGTTGCTTGGCTGCCATTTATATTTCATATAGTTTCCTTGATGGAGCGCTGTCAGCCACTAGGTTGTCTTTGAGCAATGTTAGAGTTTGTCATATTGCTGAAAGTTTTGAGAGCTTGTGAGGTTCATCGTGGGGCCCGATCAAGTCGGAGAAAGCCTCGTTGCGGAATACAACCGTGTTGTCGGCGAATTCCTTCGCGAATGCAAAGATCTTCATGAACCCGAATTGCGGCCGAAGCATCATTATGCACTTCATCTCGGCTTGCAATGGCTACAGCACAGCCAACTGGCCGATGCATTTGTGCATGAGCGGAAGCATCGATTGATCAAAGCAAAGATTGAGTTACAGGCGGGGCCCGCCGAAAATGTGTCAGCCCAGATTTTGACTGCCTTGACTTGTGTCCAAGCCAAAGAGATGCGCGCCCTTGGGCTCTGGGAGCCGCACTTTGCTTCTGATTCAGAGCTGAAGCTTCCGCGCATGAGTTTGCGCACGGGGCAGCCGCTGCTGCTGGCGTCTGAATGCATCATGCTTGAAGCATTTCGTCGCCGAGGCGAAGTGATTGAATGTCTAGGTGCGGTTTTTCGACGCGTGGTTCAAGAGATGCCCGGCGTGCTTTCTTTTGAGCCCACAAGCTGTAAGGCGTGGCGTCAGCTGAACTCCTGTAAATGGCTTTGCCCTGCCTATTGGAGAGAGGTGGATGGCAACTTGCTCGTGTTGGTTTGACGGACTCGACGATGGCTGTCTTGAAAAATTGTGCGGCTGGAGAGTTTCGGAGAGTTTCGACAGCGTGGAGAGTCTTGAGCGGCTAGAGAGTTTTGACAGCGTTCATTGACGGATCCTTGAAAGATTTCACTCTTTTTCGACCGCTTTCGTATCTAGGCACTGCTTGTTTTCTGCAATTCTGTGCTGACCACAACGTGTGATTTTTGCTCTCCGATAACTTTTCGTAACTTTTTGTAACTTTTTATAAGTTTTTATAAGTTTTTCTAAGTTTTTCTAACTTTTTTTATCTTTTTTTGCGAACTTACTACCTGCGGATAACTGTCTGTATCTGTTGCGAAGTTAGTTATAAGTAGATGCAAGTTCCGTTAAATCTGTGTAACCTCTATATCTTGTCTGTAACTCCTGCGGCTGGTCTTAGAAGTGAGAAAGGAAACTCGGAAACTCAAGAGGGCAAAGCAGAGAACAAGGTAACTTGAGTCTGGCAATAGAGGGATCTCCGATTCAAAGTCCTTCAGAAAGCCAAAAGACCACACACAAAAAGCCGCTTGCAAAAGGGAGCTCGGTTGCGATTGGACCTCTTTGTGTTCAATTCTATCGGTTCTTGTCGGCTGAGTTGGCCGTGGCTGAAACAATGGTAGCCAAATTAGCAGCTTGGTAAACGGAAGCGAGGACTAAAACCTGTATAACCCTGGCTCTTTCGTTCTGAGCCACTCTCATTTTAGCAGGGAACGAGCCACGTTACGAGGCTTGAGGAGCACAAATGACCATCTTCCATGACCACCTGAAACAAGCAAATGTGTTGCAGCCATGAATGAACCTTTGTTGGTTTCACCATCTTCCATGTCCTTCCTCCGCTAAGCACGCATGTTTCAGCTTCTGATTTCCTTGACCATCGTCCAAACCGGCCAAGACCGACAGGCCCACCAGCCGAATACACGGAACTCCCCATGACCCGGGGCTCATGTCATTTTTTTTTGCGCATCGGGCGTGATTGATGCTGGCAGAGGCGTTCATGAGGATTAGCAAACAAGTTCAAAACCATCGGTTTAACAAAACAAACAAACAAACAAACTAACTTACAAACAAACAAACAAACAAGCCAGCAACCACACAAGCAAACCACCAACCAACAAACCAAGCAAGCAA